TAGGGGCAAGTGCCGGATATTATTTTAATATATTTTTAATGGTTTGAATAACAAAAAAATGGTCTGATTAAATTTGTAATATAAGGATGGAAATTTATCGTGTTGAAATTTTTTAAACACGACTGGTCGGACGATCCATCAGTTCGGAGATTTAGTTCGAAATTAGAAACTTTAACAGGAGAATAGGAAGGATTTTCCTGATTTTATTAATACGAAACAAAACAAATCTTTGTTAACAAAAATTGAACTATCCTTATATATTCACCATTATGGAAACTAAAGTGTGTCAATCATGCAAACCCAAGTTGCGTCATCAACCACCCTATTAATTTGAACAAATTAATAAATCATGCAAGTTTTTATAACAAGTTTTTTTATCATATTTATCTGTAATGCCAACTTTCGTTGAACGTTTCCCAATGAAAGTTATTTGCGTCATTACACAATATGATCCAGATTCAATACAAGATTTTTATGAATGAAAGAAACCAAGAAAAAATATTGTTAAGTTTACTATTGTTTTATATTACCTATTATCTAAATTTACCCCTTCAAAAGATAAAATTAAAAAGTAATGTAATCATACTTATATAGAATTTGATTTAGCTAGAATGGTAATGATTAGTAACACCAAATATAAACATAAATCACAAACATTCTAAAATTTTATAAAACATTCTCAAATGTCATATCACATATAGTTCCTTTTATTAACTTAGAAGCATAAATGTGATATAATAAGTATCATTTGGCGGAAAAAAAAAAATTAACTATAAAATCAGACCCCCCCTTTTTTCTTTTTTTTTTTTTTTTTTTTTTTTTTTTTTCACCAACGTTCATCCGCACATATTATTATTATTATTATTTTTTTTTTTGAATGTAACGATTGTTATTTATCTTTTTAAATTTATAATTTAAAATCTCCCTATCCTCTTCATCATTTACGTTCATTAATTTGCAGGTTAAAATACGTAGTGCTTCAAAATATTGAAAAAGATAAAACATGAATTATATTTTATAAAATAATCTGTTTTATATTTTAGAAAAAAAAAATATAATAATAATACAATCCTCCATCAAAATTTTCATTTCATAATTAAACACATTTATTTTAAATAAGACACACCTATAATAAACCCAAATATTACATATGTATTAATATTGTCATATCACAAGTCATAAACAATAAATAATAATGACACAAACAATATCACAACAAAATAAACCATCATTTACGTTAAATTGTAAAGAAGAAGAAGAGAGCTGGGATGATATAGAATTTCCTGATTCTGGATTATTTTATACTAATAATAATGAAAAGGATTATGGATTATCAACAACGACAAGAGATATGTCCGGAATAACGATACATGATTCTTCAGATGATGATTCTTCGGAAGGTAATAATTGTGATGAAAGTACTTCAGCATCTTCTACATCATCATCATCATCAACCAATAATTCAATTAACAAAGTTAAAGAAATGATGATTAATAGAGGAGTAGTGGCAACAAATGATAAAGATGAATTCAGTGGATTGATTACTAGACTTGTGGGAAAAAATAATAAAGTATTAATCGGAGATGATTGGGATAATGATATGGAAATACCTGAGGATGGATTTGCAAATTTAACAATTACTAGTAATAATAATATTGGCGGTAAAAGGAGTAAATCTAGATGCTCCTCTATTACCGTTACGAGTTGTAACAATATTACTAATAAGGATTATTATGATTTTGATAGTTGGAATGAAGAAGAGGAGGATGATGATAAGAAGATTGTTAATGACAATGATTTTATTACTTCACCGAGACAATTAGTGATAAAACGAATCGAAGATCCTTCTAAAGTATTTTCTACATCCAAGGATACAAAGGGTAAATCGGTAGAAAGTTTCGATGATGACTTTGATTTTTCCGAGGTGGATTTAAATAGATTGAATTTATCCGCTGAAATGTTAAAATTTTATCAAGAATCTGTTCATGAAGTAATTGATAAGGATCCATTTGGTTCGGAAAAACTCTCTTCAAGAAATTCATCGCGTCTTTCTATATTACCAAGTCCAGCACCAACAAATAGTTCACAAAGCGCTTTCGAAAGCGGTGAAGAAGAAGAATTGTTTGACGATTTACAATTTCCTGAACATATGGATTCTTTAACTTTGTCTCCTCACTTAAAACCCAATAGCACTAATGGTAATGATGTTCACGATACTATTAATTATAAAGATGATGATGATGATCTCGAGAACGGATTAGATATTGAAGATGAAAGCGCTTTTGCTCCTGATAAGTTAAAAAATAAAAATATAATTACCCGTCCTAGTACTACACAATCAAAACGAACGCGGCGTGAATCATTCACAATTGAATTTGCTCCTTCTCAAATTATCAACAATCTATCCGAAAGTGATCATTTAACTGCAACACAGGAACTTCGTACTCCAGATATAACATCAAGAGAAGAATTATTATATTGTAAAGGTTCTTCTTCTGAATCCACTGTTTCTACTACTTCTACTCTTTCGAAGGATAGTCGACCTTCTACTCCATTAACATCAAAGACTGCAGAAGCATCTACTAGAAGACATCCTTCTCCAATTACTTTTGTCAAAAATAAGGTTTATCCAAATACTGGAGGGAAGAAATCTAATAATGGCGATAATAATAATTATAGAAATATTCATAGTAGTACTCCTCCGGTTTCATCTTTGCATAGGTTGAAAACAAATAAAGTTTTCTCGAAAAGTCTTACTTCATTAACGACAACGACAACAGCAAGTACATCAAATTTTAAACAAAATGCTTCATCAAAAAGTCAAAAAAATCCAAAGAGCCCTAATCTTACTGTTAAAGGTGTAACACCACCTAATAATAATAATACTTCTCAAGTTAAAGCAAAGCGTTCAATAATCACCAATACCACCAATAGTACTAATAATAAAACGACATCTAGGAAAACTGCTATTGGTAATACTACTTCTACAACTTCTATTAAAACGAAGTCAATTAAAGCAAACTGTTCTACTCTACTAAATAAACATAATAATAATAATAATAATAATAATAATAATAATAAAAATAATAATAATCGTCCTATGTTATTAAAAACAAATCCAATGCCTTCTTCATTTAATAATCTAAACAATTTACATGCACCTTCGAAAAGAAGATTTCAACAAAATACTACCTTTAATACTACATCTACATTGGTTGATTCTATATTAGAAATTATGCGTAAGCCTAGAAGACAACAAAGTTTTGGTGATGGAACTGAATTGGATGTTTTTGATGATTTACCAGTTAATCTAGATAGGGAGTGTTCAAGTAATCCTACCAATAATAATACGAAACAAGATAGAAAGAATAGTACTTCTTCTGCTGGTTCAAATCACGATAATCTTCATCAAGGACGAAAAAAGAAAAATCGTAAAGGGAAAAAACCACAATTAATTAGGAACCTCAATCTTGATAAGAATACAAAAGCTGTAGGTGAAATGGTTTATAATCCGATAACACAGCGTTGGGATGGAAATGAATCTGTATTAAAAGAATTTGATAATGCTAATTCTCCTACCCGTCCTGCTCTAATTTCAAATATGAATTATCATTCAACAAATACAAAATCTCTTCAACTTGTTGGTAATATGAAATTTGATCCAACAAAAATGTGTTGGAATAATGATTATTCTGACGATGACGCAATTTGGGATTCTGATTCCGGAAATGATTCCAAAGAAAAAGAAGTCATTGGCAGTGATGATTTTTGTAATTTCAATTCTCTTCAAGCATTTAGTGATAATGACATTTCTTATTCTAAAAAAAATAGATTAATACATCAAAATAGAAATACTGATTCCACTGGAGGTGATAGTAATGATTTTCAAGTTGGCTCAGAATTTGATATTACTCCTGGATTTAAAGCTGCTTTGTTAGCTTCCGAGAGACAACATCGTAATGAAATTTCTCGATGGTACCCCGGTGCTTTAAGCAAGGATAATGATTCTAGATTTGGTTTGAGAGATGTTACATTGCAAAGGAGTTATCTTTATGAATTAAGGAATAATAAACCGTCGTCTGGTAATAATTCAAAAATCAATCATGATAGATCTGGCGGACTTTTTGAAGCTGCCATGAATTTAACAAGACATGAACGAAGACATTTCCGTTAAAAAAAAAAAAAAAAAAATTGTATTTTATTTATTTTTTTTTTCGTTTTTGTATTTTTATTTATTATGTACTTCATTATGCGTGTACTTTTATTTATTATGAAAATTTTCCTCCCTCTTTTTCCTTCATTTGTAAATATCTTATCAACCTTACACTTTATCATATAACGAACATTTATTGTCATTTACAAGATATTATAACAGATTGTATATTATAATAAATAATTTCATATCCAACAATTTCTTTTTATCAAATGAATTAATGATTAGGAGTTGCTTGATATTAATTTTAGCGCATAGGTTGTTCAAAGGTCATAAACGAGGAAACGAGAAATATGTAACATGTCTCATTCAATGAGAATTAGAGATGATAATTTTGTATTTGTGGAAGTGGAAATTTTATTTAAGTAAATAATTATATGGCTTTCAGATTTAACCTTAAAGTCTAAAAATCGAAGTCATTACGTAATGTTATCCAGATGACCATGGGCTAGTCCATGGAGAAGTGGTGATTGAAATTTACATATTACATTATTAGAATTATTTAATAGTAATTTAAAGTTCCAACTCCTTGACTGATAGGGCTTTGGTTAGAACTAAACTATAAATAATTAATTGATATTGTAATATAATTGAAAAATTTGCCTATTTGACAAATTAACAATGACATGCTTAGTATTCGCACACAAAAAAAAAAAAAAAAATTCTTGATTATTCAAACGAAAATAATAGAAACTACCAACCTTCGTTTATATATTTCATGTGAAAATTTCAAAAATCAAGAGATCAATCAACTGTGATACCTTTTTTTGTAAATTATAAACTTTTATCATATACCAATATCTCCGGTAAAATCTTGTTTTGCCCAATATGGCCATTCAGTTTCATATTTCCATCCATCACCTTCATATTTCAACGCATGTAACCAAATAAATAATTGATGAGATTCAGGATCTGGAAGATTTTGCATGGTGCATACTTCGCATTGTTCTAGTAATTTATTATTTTCAGTACATTTAATATGTTCCTGTTGTTTTAATGATGTGGGCGAATCCAAATTAAGATATTCATCTTGATTTATTCCTTCTTTCATAAGATTATCAACAACAGATTTTGTCAAATTTTCATCAATTCCACCTTTTCCTGTTTGTTGACCCCAGGCACGGTGGTTATATAAAGGATCATTAGCAATTACGTGACCCAAATACTGAAGATGAACACGAATTTGATGTGTTCGACCTGTAATCGGTTTACCTATTATAATATCAATAATAATAATAATAATAAATAAATACTTCCATAAATTTCAAAGAAACTGTTAATTTTATGTTCGATATAAAACCTTACATCTAACGACGCTCGTCCGTCCATTGTAACTCTCACGATGAAATATGGTTTCGCAAGGTTTTCCATTCGGATGAACAACATTTAACCCAAGTTTATGTGATACGGTTATAATTGGTTTATCACACATTACATCCTCCCTATAAAGTAAAAGAAATTAATAAAAGGTAGGTCCATAAGTTTTACGAAATTCTTAAGTAAACGCACGTAGGAAATTCTCCAATAACACGACAAAGGTATTCTTTACGAATTTTTCGTTCTTGCATTAATTGTTCAAATTCTTGGGCCCTTTTTTTATTTATAGCTAAAAACATTATTCCCGATGTTAAACGATCAATTCTATTCAAAGCTGTGATGAAAGAGAATATGATAAATGATAATTCACAAAAATAATTTTAAAAAACGGTGAATTGTTTTGATGACTTACTATAAAGGTTCGTAAATCCAAAATCTTTTTGTAAAATATGTAAAACAGTATTATGTCGATACCTTTGAATATAGGATAATTAGATGTAAACCGCAAAAAATCATTATCTTAAAACAATTTTAGACGATAATAACGAACCTTCCGGAGGGATGAACCTATTATGCAATAAGCAATAACATAATGAATTATAAGATAAAATATAATTTTTTACACAGTACAACAAAACACTTACAGGTACACTTCCTGGCTTATCTATTACAATTAAATCATTTTCAGTACTTATTATTTTTATTTGAGCAGCCGTAATTGGAGGTTCATGTCTATGAATTTTATGTCTAATAATATCTTGATTTTTAACAATTGTTTCTTTTGTAATAATTTTCTCGTTGATTGTAATTAGACCTGTCTCAATCGCATAGGCCTAAAAGAAATTGTCTTTATTTTCTTTCTATCATTAAGCAACAACAAGTGATAATTAAAAAAAATACCTTACATAATATTCTGCTGGTCTGTCACGAAATTCCTTACAGAAAACATCAAAAATACTACGTCCCAACCATCTCCCCTTTGCAAATGCTTGATATTCATAATAATAAGGCTTTACTTTACGAAGATCTAAAAGAAATAAACTTTACTCATTAATTAATTTTTAAAAAACGGTAAATTGCGCACAAAAGGTTTTTTTGTTACCTTTCTCAAAATAATATATCACACTATCCAAATTTTTATTCTCTTCGATAAAGGCCTGTCTACTCATTTGTAAAGGCTTATTCTTTAATTTTGACACATTAAGAGGATCTATGTTATCTAATTTACGTTTTTTTATCGGTAATTTTTCCTTATTGAGAGATTCATTATTATCTGTGTTGAGATCTATTACACTTGTATGTCGCGTCAATTTATTATCAGTTTTTACTCGATTATGTTCCATGTTACCTACTAAAGAAACGTGAATTTTATATTTAAAAAATAAAAAATTTAACCAATTTTACCGAAAATACCTGACAAGACATTGGCTCTGAATAGTGATCTAACACATAAACTGAATGAAAAAGATATCTTTAAACTTTCCCAGCTTTCTAAACTTGCCACGATTTTAGAAACAAAAATATACTTTATTATTTTATTGATTATTAGAATATAAAAAATTTTATTTCAATAGAATTTTTTGAAAGTGATCTTATCATCTAAAATTTTTATAATTAGAAAAACTACGTTTAATATTAACTCCAGAAAAAATTTATTATTGTAAAAATTAGAATTTAATAAATTTATTTTTAGCTTTAGAAAATTAAACTGCATACATTTCAAAGATTACAACTTAATGTCTAATTAATATAATTTAATTTATTAATATTATACAATAATTATAGTAGTTTTAGTCATTAAAAAATATGAATTAATATCAAAATTTTTATTGTAATTGAAATTCTTGCAATGCCTATTCTAATGCATATGCTACATAATTTATTGGTTTGGTTTCATCATTATTATTACAAGGAATATCATTTTCTGACTCATTGACTTATACTTTTTGTTCATTGAAACGTTGCAAACGTTTCAATAAGGATTTGACATGTTCATCGATATCATTTTATAGGAATAATAAGCAATGCAAGCATTTTAACCCATTATTGTTATAGAAAAATGTATGATAAGTATGGCTGCAAAATAAAATTTTAATTGAATCAATATTAATAGGTGAAAAATTAGAACAGTTAGATGAATTACAGTAACAAAGTAAATCTGGCTTATATAAAGTACTAAAATCCAAAAGAAGGTGATATAATTGTGCTTTTGGTATTTTTATTACAGTTAATGAAACGGTAATATCATTAACTTTTTCTTTGCCTTTCTTCTTTGAAGATGAGATTGCGATAGTTTGTAATTAAAATGTTATTAGTGAATTATGATTAAATATATGTGCATAAATTTCTGAAAAATACTGCAAAAGAAAACAAGTATTTTTTTTGTCAAAAACATAATATTTCTTGCAGAGTATTTATAGACAGCCCATGTAGATGTGTATGCAAAGTTTTTCCTAAATCCATTATCATCTAAACATAAATGATTAATATATTGTCTATACTTAATAATCTGCTGCACATCCGTATGTTTCTTTGTACTCCTACATAAAAAACTATGAAATATTTCTACTATCAAATCTGAGAACTTTAGAAGTTCAGCCTTGATAACCTCTAGGATTGAATGATTATTTAATTCTTAATAAAAAATATCAGAAAAAAACATTGATGATGTTTTAGTATAGTTTTTGCGATTAAACTTAAGAAATACTGTCTAAATACAAAAATAAGATTTCAAGTAAGCATCAAAATCACTTGATCGAAAAAATACAATATAGATATCTAAAACTAAAAAAAGTATGTTATCAGAAGGTCTTTAAGTACAAGATATTCAGTATCTTTGCACAGAGATCCAAATTTTGCTTCAACAACTGTAGAAGTTTTTTGTCAAGCACTGCAAGTAATTTCTAGAAGAAGGTCAATATGCCATGGTTTGGATTTTTATGTGAGTGACTTCTTTTTCCTGAAAATAAACTTGTAAATAGCTAAAAAAAAAAGCTGGTATTGAAGAAAGATTAATTCTTGACTATTTAATAATATGTATAAAGAATTTATAATAAAAGAAAAGATTAAATAGTATCATTAATATGTGATAAATTATGATAAGTTAAATAACATAAAATTATTATTCTAATATAAATCTGTTCAGGTCAATCAGTAACAATAGAAATGATATATCCTTTTTGAATGTATTTTAGCATTAAGAAAATATTTACAACAACATCAATTGTCTTAAGATATGCATCTAAGGAATAAAGATTGTTTTTTTATAAATCTATAAGAATCACATCCTTCATTGAACGAACATAATGCCTTTCCTTTAATCTAATATTATAACTGTATACGGTTAATTCTTCCAATCTCATATCATTATTAATTGCACAAAATTCTCATTGCTGATTATGTAAAAAATTATAAAGCATCATAAACTTATTTATAACATTCATTTTAATTAATTTAATATTAACAAATACAGGGTTATATGGGTAAATTGTTAGGAAAATCAGGTTCTGAGAATTTTTTAGCAAAATTGAGATTTTTATTACATTTCAGTTTTTGATGTAATTAGATTAAAATGTATTAAGCTCTTAATTTTAGTCAAAAATTTCTCAGAACCTGATTTTCCTAGAAACACTCCTATATATAATTGTATTTGAAATTACTCTTTGTGTAGTAATAGAATTTATTAAGACTGTTACCAAATGTTCAGTAGTAGATGTGATAGTCGTATTTGATATCTATTTTGTATGAATACTGTAGTAATCATCAATGTTTAATATTATTGCATTTTCCGCATAATTAGCAAGTGCAAAATCAATGGTCTTAGCATATTCTTTAGATATAGTACTTTTATGTCATATAATTGTTCAAGATGTTGTAGCTATACCTAGATTAGCAAGAGTATCTATAATAGCATTAGAAGTGCTAGTAGAATCTAAATATATCATTAAATCCCTTTTTCATCAATTACAAATTTATTACGAATCTTACAAAGAAAGTAATAAATAAATAAAAGCTGTCTTTTTACTTACGCTTGAGAATCATTATTTTTTGAGGATAGGTTAGTTGATAAATACAATTTATCAAAAAAGATTTTAATCTTGCATCCTCCTCTTTCATGATTGTTCTAAATTCATCAAATGAGTATATAGTCAGCTTTTTTTCTTTTCTTTGTTTATATAAAATACTGGTTATTTTTGTTATTATTTGAGAAAAAGATAAAGTGGCATTAATACTCTTAATCTCATTATACTTATCTGTCATCTTTTCTGCCTCACAATTTGTATTATCTTGAGTATGCTGTTAAAATTTAGATAAAACGTTCACTATAATTCTATTATAATAGTTCATACAAATAGTATCATCTTTTTAGACATAACTTAGCAATGTATTATTAGTTTGATCTTTGGTAAAAACATTTTTAATTACCTTTCTTCATTAGGTTAACTATTTTCAGCAAATAGTAATAACAATAAGCATATTTCTCTTCTATGTAAAGTACCTTAAGAATTTTGATTATTTTTTGATTATTTTACAAGGTAAGTTTTGAAGCTCTTTTGAAGTTAAAAATAAAATTTTTTTACTTTTACTAACGATAATACCATATTTTAAAAAAATACTCTAAACTGTATAAATAATGTATTAATTAATTAATTGGAATCAGCCAATTACGTGAAAGTCCCTCTATGAGTTTAATCATCATTTTTATAAAAATTTCAAAATTAAAAAATATTATATATAATATTCTTTCAGGTATATAATTTCATAATCTACACTGATTCACAAAATTTTACAAACCAGTTTTTAAATTATTTTTAGACTAAAATACACTTTTTTTACATATATATATATTATTTAACAATGACAACTTCAAAACTGGAAGAAAAAAACTTACCTTACATATTCAATTCTATTATTAATAAATATTCAGAAATCCAACTAGTATCATGTGAAACTAAAGAAAAACAGAAATGATGACATGCATCAACCGAAATAGCAAAGAATAAAATTACAATTTTAACTAACTATTTTTCTGAATTAAATTTATTACTTGATTCTTTAGAAAATTATTCTTTATGTGAAAAATATTATAATAATGTTATTACTAGAGATTCTTTTATTAATTAATTGAAAAAAGCTAATAACTTAATTTTTTTAGATGAAAAAAATAAAAGAAAAAGGTTGAAACTTTCTGATAATAGAAATATTTCATAGTTTTTTATGTAGGAGTACAAAGAAACATACGGATGTGCAGCAGATTATTAAGTATAGACAA